CAAAGACTGGTGTGTGCGCTCCCATATTCAAAACAACCAAACTTTTCTGGATTGCTCGAGTTTATTTACTTTCAGCATATATACCCATTCAAATTTCAAAAGAGTTCCCTATCTTCCTAATGCTATCCTGCTTCTGTGGTCTCTTCCAGGACTGGAAGATTTATAGGAACAGTTACACTCGCTATATTTGTTCTGTGAATGATCATGAAATGAAGCACTGGAATGTACTTAAAATAATCCCAATAGAAAAACCATTCTGATTCAGACACCATATCTTGGCATCCTTACTTCGGGTCACAGCACAATGCAGGCTTTGAACATCAATGATTTTCATGGTAAGGCAAGATAGGGGAAAGGTATCAAAAGATGATGCATAGGAGAGCTACTAAGAACAGTTTGTGGTTAGTACCAACTTCTATCTGAAACGATCTGAGCCTTTTGAAGTAAAGAATTGCCTTTTTTGCTCAGTAGAGCATTTTGAACATTCAGACAGATGTAAGAGATTTTCCTCTTCTTTAACAAAAATAGAATAGCTAGAAACTCAACTATACAAAATTAATGTTTAACTTTCCATTTCTGCAGATTACTGGAAAAAGCCCGTACAGTACATCAATGTGATGGTAATAATTTTCAAGTTGTACTATATTCTTGTGTTTCACCTGCAAACATGAGGAGTCTGGAATAAGTATTTTTGGCATGAACATGACATGCAGAAGGGAATCACAGATTGGGCATACAAGGGGAGACCTTGACCCTAAGTAAGGGGAAACAGAAAATCTTTTGAATTCAAACTTTTATAGTGTACCTATTTTATAAAATATGATTGATATGAATTACCTCTATTGAAATCATAGCAATCTGAAAGAAAGCTTTACAGAGGAATAAATTGCAGCAAACATTCTGGAACATAAGACCTACCATACTGGGTCAGACCAAGGTCCATCTAGCCCTGTCTCTGATAGGAGCTTGTACTAGAGCTTCAGGGGGAGTATACAGAACAATTTGGAGAGATCGATCCCTGTGTATTCCTCCTGGCTTCTGCAATCAGAGATTTACGGTCATCCTGAGTGTGGGGTTATATCCCTGACCATTTTGACTAATAGCGATTGATGGACCGATCTCTCCAAGAACATATCTAGTTCTTTCTTTAACCCAATTATACTTTTGGCCATCACAAAATCCCATGGCAATGAGTTCCACGGGTTAATTTTGCACTGTGTGAAAAAGTACTTCCTCTTGTTTGCATTAAACCTGCTGCCTATTTATTTCATTGTGTATTGTGGGAAAGGGTAAAAAAATTTCTCTGTTCACTTTTTCCACACCATTCATGATTTTATAGACCTCTATTGTTTCTCCCCTTAATCATCTCTTTTCTAAGCTGAACAGCCTTAATCATTTTAGTCTCTCCTCACACTGAAGCCATTCCATATCCTTAACCAGGGCTGGATTTCCAATTAGGCACAGTAGCACATGCACTGGGGGGGGGGGCAGCATTCTAAGGGGGTTGCTAAGTATGTGATTTTCTAGCCCAATTGGACTATTTTTAGATGACAGTTGTCAGGGTTTTTTAGCAGTTAAGAGTTGTGCTATTTTGGTCTATTTTGCTGCCCTGCTGCCACTGGCCACACTATGGGGAGTTCCACGTGAGGCAGAATTTTTTTCCTGCAGAAAATGGTGCGTTTCTGCCTTTTGCCCACCAGAGGCCACTGTGGCACCAGAACAACTTGAATTGGTTGAGGCTGACTGGTCTGATGGGTGCAGGGCTGGCCTTACCATGAGGCAAACTGAGGCAGCCACCTCAGGTGCCAGATTGCGGGAGAGGAGGAGGGAGCGCCATTAGGACCCAGAGTGTAGAAAATTGTGTCTGCTGCTGGTGCATGTGTATTCTCTCTGCTCTAGATGCACAGAGATGGTGGAGTGCTGTGCTGGAGGAAGGAGGGCACGAGAGGTATAACAGGCAGGCAGGAGAAAAGGTGAGAGGGAAGAACAGAAAGCAGCAGGAGCTGGAGGAAGAGAGAGGAGGAGGAGGAGCCTTTATGTACCTCTCTAGCACCCCCAGGAGCCTGGACTGATTAACACCAGCTTCTCGGGGAGCTTCCAGTTTCCTGCTGCTTCCCTGAACCCACTTGAGGAGAACAGGCAGCCAACTGAAGTAGTAGGAGCCAGTTAGGCCCTTAAGACGCTGATATCTTCCCTCCCTCAGACCCTGCTACCAGCCTGCATATTTGTCCCCTTCAATTGATGTTGAGAGCCACTATAGCTGGCACAGAACAGCAGTCATGAGTGAAAGAAGAAAACGCCCCTCCGGGGCAGCATTCAGAAAAAGAAAGAAAGCAAAGGAAGCTTTTCTATCTAAGCAGGAAGGAGCTCTCCTGAGATACATAGACACAAATGTTCACAGTGAGCCTTCCGGCCCCTGTGGGGATGCGAGTGGTGAGGAGATGCCTGATCTTCCAGTTAGTCAGAGTGCAGGTGACCTGGCAGCTACTGCAACATCCATGTCTCCATCTCAAATTGATGTAACC